ACACACACACACACACACACACACACACACACACACACACACACACAAACACACTCACTTACTTAAAAAGAAGTGGTAAATTCTCTAAAAGAAAATAAGTTACATTATGCTATTCTAAGCCATGAAAATAAAAGTCCATTTTCTTTGATAGAGAATTTTTTTCTAACAATTCAAAGTATTATACAGCAAAATCTATATAATGTGAAACATAAAACTCTGTTAGGAGTTTGGGGGTTGGTGTGAGAAGACAAGCTATATCTGAACTGTAGGCTTTATTAGATTAACAAGACATCTAGTCAAAGAAAAGGAGCTACTTTAAGTCAAGTGACTTTTAATGAGATCTTACTGCCATAAATTTTACCTTAATTTCTTTTATAAACTTTCACAGGGACAGAGGCTATGTCTAGTATTTTAATTACCAGAAATTGGACAGTTAAATTTGTTAAAATCCAAGATCACAGTACTAAAACAGCTTGCTCAATAGTAAACTTACTATTCATTAAAAAAAAAAAATTACCCATATCTGGCTTTGGTTTTTTTAATTTCTACATCATGACTAAACTTTGGCGATAAGTCATGAACCCTAAAATGGGATCTGAATTCCACCCTAGCTACTGCTATGCTGGTCAGCTCCTAACCCAACAGCTGATCTACAAAATGGAGTAAGAGTGGTTGTTTGCATGAGAACAGTCCCCAAAGGCTCACAGATTTCAACACTTGGTCCCTAGCCCATGGAACTATTTGGGAAGGATTAGGAGGCATGGCCTTATTGGAGGACATGTCACTGAGGGTGGGCTTTGCAGTTTCAAAGGCCCATACCATGCTCAGTGAGTTCTCTCTGCCACTACTCCAGCACCATGCGCTCTGGCTGCCATGCTCCCACCGAGATGGTCATGGACCCCCTTTTCCCCCCCGCCAAGGTGAGTCTCAAATCGAACATTTTCTTTAACAAGTTGCCTTGGTCACAGTGTTCTGTCACAGCAGACTAACAAGCAACCAAGGCTCAGAGTAAGCTACTGAGCAATAAAGCAAGATCAGGGTAAGAGGTCTGCTGAGCAGTAAACACTGTCGTGAGAACCAAAATAACAGGCGTTTCGAGATTGAGACTATCTGGCACATTTACATCTCAAATTTTGTCTAAGAAATTTCAATGTACCTCATAAAATATATAATTCCGCTACACCAGCAAACAGTCTAAGGTGCCATTTATTCCATGCACAGCCATCTTGGCATAAGCCAAATCCAAGGGTGAACACACATTTTTCGAAGTCTCAAGCAGTGACTGGTAGGGTAGATCTATAGGGACCTTGAAGGTCGGGGAAATGCCTACCTACCTCAGGAACTTCTCTCAGTGTATGACCTAGAGTTGAGGGAAGGAGAGAAGAGGCCACAGCCTCATCAGATCTTAGGCTCACTGGACCATGCTAATGGTCATGTGGGCAATGCTGGGGAGAACAAGAGAGGAACCTTTGGCTTTCACATACACACACAAAGGCATGTGCGTCCGTACACACACCTACACATATACCACATAACACACAAAGGCATGTGCGTCTGTACACACACCTACACGTATCCCACATATACACACAAACAGCAACTATTGTGAACAGTAACTTTTTTGTTTTAATACTTATTTACTGAAGTGTCTTCTCCATGAAAGGAACTGGCTACAAGATGAAGAGGGAAGAAAAAGAACAGGAACACAGACTTCAAAACCCTCACTGTCTGATAAAAGAAAATTACCTCCGCCGCATGATCGGAATGCACAAAAGAACGAGACATGTATCACGGACTCAACACCAGCAGGATTGTACAAGGCCATCTGGGCACTCCAGAAGCAAATGTAAAATGACAACCGGCGTGTGAGGAAGAAAGAATGCCTGACAACTCAGAAAGCCTGTGGCTCTCCACATGAGGAAGACAGGCCTGTAAACATAGTCCAGGGTCAGGTCACGTGAGCAGCAGCTGGCAGGTGACAGCTCAGCCTTTGCTCAGTTGGCTTTGGAGCACACAATAGCTAAGACTGAAAAGTGAGGCCCAGGGGTAGTAAGATGTCTAACGCAACAGCAGCTACAGGACAAATAGGCAGAATGTGACCGGCCGCAGTACTGCAGGGTGGGCACAGGGGGTCAGGGCACCAGAAGCAGTCTGGGAAGAACTCAGTGGACCAACGTGCTGGCTTGGTCCCTCCCTTCTTCTCCCGTTGATGAGCATTAGAAACATTCTCCAGCCAACCTCTCGATTGAGATCTAACCACCAGTTCTTACTCTTGGGAAGTGTGCTTCAAAGATAAGCAGACGCTTCCAAGAAGCAGAGACAACTGTAACCCATTTCTGACAGCAACTAAGAAACAAACAAAGGAGAGGGCAAATAGTTTAAAGTCAACTCAATTATTCAAGTGCACGGTACAAAACTGACCTCTAATCCCAGAACAACTGCCTGGTCTATGCTCAGCCCCGTGGCAGCGGTTTGAAACCGTTCACTTTTGATCTTCAGTAAAGCACTTATCAGAGCCTCTCCTATGTAATTCAGGTTTCTAGCACTCTCATCCTACCCCAGGCAATCATGCCTCCTGAGGACTGGGGGGTTTTATGGAACTTGACTTTGGATCCCCTAAAATA